AATAATAAAACTGAAAACATACCATTTTAATAAGATGATTCTGTATTTTATCATCTATAATATCAGATTGTATTTTTTGACAGTTTTTACGTAAAAAGTCAGTTTTTAATTGTTGACCATCTAGTTCCTCTAATTTTACACGACATTTCTGACAAGTTTTTACATCATGGATCTCTTCCTCACATTTCTAAAATAATAAATAAAACGAAAACTTTTCCATTCTGACCCTGATTTGTTTGAATAATTAAGACAGGAAATTCTATGCTGTGTCCAATGCAGGAAATTCAACAAGGATTAGAGCATCCTTCTCTTTCTTTCAATTTGAACAGTACTGAGATCTTTAACATTCCAGAAACTCCCTGACAGAGGAATATTGAGGTGGAATTGTGATAATTTCTCTATTCTTTCACTTTGCACTCACTATCGTTAATTGTATTATTTTTCAATTCAATATTTATTACTTCAAGTAATAATAGATACGTCAAACTAATGGCCTTGGCCAGTGCTTCTATAGAATACCAATACTGTATTTCCTAATAAAAATATCCATTGCTCTAAATCTTATTTAATCTTGGTCTTACTTTCTTCATGTTAGCCATTAAATTATGTAACTTTATTCTCTCAACTATACTTGAACCAATTCCATATTCTTCTACTCTAGTTGGTTTCCTTTTTACTTTTATTTCTGCTCTTCTTCCTAAAAATAAACAATCTATATAATAAAACAAATCAAACATCAATGAAAATTAGATAAATATTCAGACTGCTAGTTGGTTTACTTTCTACCTTTATTTCTGCTCTTCTTCCTAAAAATAAATAATCTGTATAATAAAACAAATCAAACATCAATGAAAATTAGATAAATATTCAGACTGCTAGCTGGTTTACTTTCTACCTTTATTTCTGCTTTTTTTACTCTTATTCCTAAAAATAAACAATCTATATAATAAAACAAATCAAACATCAATGAAAATTAGATAAATATTCAGACTGCTAGTTGGTTTACTTTCTACCTTTATTTCTGCTTTTTTTACTCTTATTCCTAAAAAAAAACAATCTGTATAATAAAACAAATCAAACATCAATGAAAATTAGATAAATATTCAGACTGCTAGTTGGTTTACTTTCTACCTTTATTTCTACTCTTCTTCCTAAAAATAAACAATCTGTATAATAAAACAAATCAAACATCAATGAAAATTAGATAAATATTCAGACTGCTAGTTGGTTTACTTTCTACCTTTATTTCTACTCTTCTTCCTAAAAATAAACAATCTATATAATAAAACAAATCAAACATCAATGAAAATTAGATAAATATTCAGACTGCTAGTTGGTTTACTTTCTACCTTTATTTCTGCTTTTTTTACTCTTATTCCTAAAAAAAAACAATCTGTATAATAAAACAAATCAAACATCAATGAAAATTAGATAAATATTCAGACTGCTAGCTGGTTTACTTTCTACCTTTATTTCTACTCTTCTTCCTAAAAATAAATAATCTATATAATAAAACAAATCAAACATCAATGAAAATTAGATAAATATTCAGACTGCTAGTTGGTTTACTTTTTACTTTTATTTCTGCTCTTCTTCCTAAAAATAAACAATCTATATAATAAAACAAATCAAACATCAATCAAAATTAGATAAATATTCAGACTGCTAGTTGGTTTACTTTTTACTTTTATTTCTGCTTTTTTTACTCTTCTTCCTAAAAAAAAACAATCTGTATAATAAAACAAATCAAACATCAATGAAAATTAGATAAATATTCAGACTGCTAGTGGGTAGACAATAAGTATATGTTTAAAGAGACAAGTTTGCCAATTTCAGAGGTTGATTTGAGTCTTGAATATATGTAAATAGTCTTCAAAGTACTATAAATGCACAAAAATCACATAATTCCTTTAAAAATATCTCAAACTAGGAATTTCTTTTCCTATTTCTATAGATGAGTCTCAAGAAAAGACGAGTCATCATTTTAACTTTCAAACGTAGATAATTCTGGACACACATGGATTTGAAGGCTCAAATTTCGACGGTGAGATGTTAACACTATTACTGATTAGCTTAACTTAAAAAAATTCCCGTTTCTGAGACCAAAGTATGATTGGTCAAAAAAATGGCGCATCTGTCTCTTTAAGTTTTCAAGGTTGCTTCTGTCTTGTTTACTTTACAAATCTGCATTCTTAACATACAATATAATGGTCAAACCGCAAGTGTCTATAGGTTTTCATTATTACATGGGCCTGATTGATTTTCTCAGTATCGGTATAGATGTTATTACCTGAATCTCTGTTCTGTTGAAGTTGTTTTATTTTCATTCGACAATAACTAGCCAAATGTTTACTTTCTTTTTTATCTACTAAATAAATAATACATATTCATTAATCAGTCTGAAGGTGGGGTTGGGCTGTTGATTTGACACCATTTTCTGGACAAGAAGTGACAGAGTAAATATAATGAGTGACAAAGTAGAACTGTAAAATGTCATAGTTCTCTTCTCTTTTGCCTAACATCATGACAGTACTGGTATTTAATAATATCTTCTCTCAAGGGGAAATTGAGGTCAAATTTCACAGCCCTGGGGGTGGGGGAAGTTGTTTCGTTGTTTTCACGGAAAACTAACATGTAGCCATTTAAACTACAAATGTGTCATTAGACAAAAGTTACGACTTTTACTGCCTTTAGAAATTAACAGCATTATAATATGGCAACATTTCCCTCATTGTACATTGCCTAATGTTGCCTGTCTTCATTAACCCACATGGTGCAAAAAAGTAGGATGTAAAACTCCATTTATTTTATTCTTCATTTTATAATATCTACCACTGTCACCCAGTCTCTCCTATAATCTATATTCGTTACCTGCTGGTTGTGATGGCAGTTGTATGTCTGGTAAGTCCAAGTCTAGTTTGATATGTTCATGTTTTAATCTGTACAGAGTGTCGGCTATAAACTGACTCTGAGTAGAAGACACCTCACTGGCTTCAATATCACTCAAATCCTACAAAATATCATCAACTTTTACTTAAAGGGACAGATATATTTCTCTAAAATAGTACAGTAGATTTTTAACAGCTGGTAAAAAGCATAACAATATTTAAAGGTTTAATATTTTCAGGTATAATTTATGATTTTAAAAATGAATATTTTGTATACTGCCCCTTAGGAGTTGGGTTTTTTGAGAATTAGGTTCGGGAATGTTGTTTACAATTTAATCAGTAATTATCTTCCTCTTATCTTTGTACACTAGCATCATCTTTTTCTAATCTAACATTATAAACACAAAACAATGTCAAGGGTAGAATTTTATCAACTGATATAGAAATAGAGTAGAGTGCAAAGAATAAACTTTGATTTTCGATCAAGTCTTATAACAAAATCAAGATATAATCAATCCAATATATAAGTCTATTCAAATCTATGCTTTAACCAAGATTTTTTTGCCTAATAGAGATACTTACTGGATATACAAGACTATCCAATATACTATGCCTAATACTAGAGATACTTACTGGAAATACAAGGCTATCCAATATACTATGCCTAATACTAGATATACTTACTGGAAATACAAAGCTATCCAATATACTATGCCTAATACTAGAGATACTTACTGGAAATACAAGACTAACCAATATACTATGCCTAATACTAGAGATACTTACTGGAAATACAAGGCTATCCAATACACTATGCCTAATATTAGAGATACTTACTGGAAATACAAGACTATCCAACATACTATGCCTAATACTAGAGATACTTACTGGAAATACAAGACTAACCAATTTACTATGCCTAATACTAGAGATACTTACTGGATATACAAGACTATCCAATATACTATGCCTAATACTTGAGATACTTACTGGATATACAAGGCTATCCAATATACATGTCTAATACTAGAGATACTTACTGGAAAGGCAAGGCTATCCAATATACTATGCCTAATATTAGAGATATTTACTGGATATACAAGACTATCCATTATATTATGCATATACTAGAGACACTTACTGGAAATACATGGCTATCCAATATACTATGCCTAATACTAGAGATACTTACTGGAAATACAAGGCTATCCAATATACTATGCCTAATACTAGACGTATCACTTGGTGTACCAGTCTCCTCAAAATGTTCTGTACCATTCAAAGCTTAAATAAGTAAAGGAAAGATGAAAACAATGTTATCCTAAGCTAGGCCTACTCAAGTGTTTGGGTAGAGGTCAGTTAACGGAAGTGTTAAATAACAGGACAATAATATAATTTTAATTCTTTTCCCCTTTTATAGAATTTGTGATATTATTAAAATTTTAGCTATATGAGAAATCGTTTGCAAGTGTGCCAATCTTTTTTTTTATAGCAATGTTATATGAATAATGAATTACAAAATAATCAATAGCCATAGCCAACAGATTTTCTAGCATATCGTGGGTGACCGCTTGAAACCTAGTAAATGCCATATTTGGTCATTTTGACTTTTTGGTACCTTTCGAAACTCGTAAAAGCGCGGATCTTGTGATCAAAACCTCGTATTCTTAGCTTGATTGTAAATAACTCAAAAAGCACTTATTAAATAACACGTATATAAACAGTCAGATTTAAAACCTCGTAAAATTAAAAACATATAATCTATTACGAAATTTGATAATCGATAATTGAAATCATAAAATCGTACTGACGATAATACATTATTCTACCCAGCCCTAGTCACATTACTGTACCCATTCAAATGGCCTGATAGCAAACTTACCGAAGTGAGGTTTTAGATGTTTCTGAGGTATATGGTAAAGATTCGAATGTGTCCGTGAAGACATCTCCTGATAGTGACGAGTCTCGTTCTAGTGAACTGATATCACTATATAGTGACTCTGTATATGAATCACTGTCACTATAAGTACGAGTTGAGTCACTATTGTCTGTCAGTTCAGAGAACGTGGCCAAGTCAGAAGTTTCTTGATCTGTTTGAGAATTATCACTCAGAGTTTCAAAATCACTGACATATTTACCAGACAGTGTTGAGGAATCAAAATCACTGGAATATTTTCCATAAGAAGATTTTTCAGTATTAGATTCAGTTTTTTCGAAGTCACTGCTGTATTCAGACGGAGTTGGTTTAGAATCGTAAGAACTAGGGGAATCCTCCGTAGATGAATCCCGAATATCGTGAACAACTTCTAATGTATTGCTGAAATGTACATGCATCTTGCGAGGAGACCCCTCAGATTTTCTGGAATCTTCACTCAATCTGTTTCCTTCATCTAGGATCATCAGACATGGTGAATGAGGCACAGTTTTCTTTAAGACACTAGGTAGGCGTCGCGGAGATTGTGCCTCTATATCATATATCCTTGGTGACGGTGATCTTGATTGTATTACATTGTTATCATCGTCTGAGTTATTGTCTTTTTTCTTGACAGAACTGAGTAGAGTGCGTCTCTGAATTCCATGTGTCATTTGTAAATGTTTGAATTCTTTACCAAATTCCATGTTTCTAGTGTTGAATTTCTCAATCACCAAGAAAGACAACAAAAAATTGACGCTTGTCAGGGTGTATTTTTTCAGGCTAGAAGTCACTGTAACAGTATAAACAGCCTAAATACATACGTATGGACATTAGTTCTGAAACAGAGTAATAAAAAACAATGGTTATTGTAAGTAGGCCTATTAAGTAACTGGAAGTAATCAATTTATCAACAGTAATACTGAAATAGAGCCTAATATAGAGGAACTAACTGATCTCCTGTGTTTGGTAGTGAGTCAAACATGACTGGTTATACAGCCATTATCAATTAAAATCAATGACAATATCTGACATAATAAGGCCTGAACCGGATTCGTGTTGAGACTATGGTCAAACAATTAAACAAATTCGATAGGATGTTTGCGTAGCTAATCAAGAGATTGTGAAATACAGGTACTGTATAATATAGGAAATATTCTAAGAGCTAAAAGAGCTTGTACATGTCGTTTTATTAATACAAATGGCTATCTTGTTTACTTGTAGTGAGGGCTGCCATCTTGAAAAGTTGATCTATATAAAACAACCACCTTTTCGTATAAAAATTATCATAATTTTAAGCGAAAATCACATTCTCTAATCAATCTAATATTATCAAAATATTTTCTGAAAGTAGTTCACGACCTGGAAACAATATCGAAAAATTTCTGGAGACGAAAAAATCAAAAAGAAACATTTCCGACGGCCTTCACCGGCTTCAGAGTTCTTGATAGTAAACAGTCATCGGGTTTACTCGACATTTTCTTTTCATAAATTAACTCTAAAATTTCATCCACAGGCCCTTGAAGTTCTGTCAATATTAATAAAATATGGGAAATGTGGAAAAAATAGTGTAAACGTATACGTCCACATGGCCCATATTTTATTAATATTGACAGAACTTCAAGGGCCTGTGCTTAGTCATACTCTCAATTGCTAAAGACGTCTGCAGTCATTTGACCCCGAAACTTGTTTATAAATTGATCAGATCTTAGATCAACGGATTCCGGGTATCCATCATCTTCACCATGGTCAAGCTAGTTCGAACTCCGTCTCAGTCTCTTAACTACCATAGGGACTGATTGAACCAAGTGAAAGCAAGTTTTTCGGGCAAAAATCTCATAACTAAGTTAGAGATTTCGGGCAATTTCAGATATCTCGCCCCCTCTCGGACGTAAACCTGGCTCCGCCACTGCCCGGCCCCCCATGCCTAAATGGCAATCCATTTTTTCAGGCCTAGCTACCTACAGGCGTGAGATAAACAGAGCTATAATATGAATTAATATATGGGGTACAGTGATTGACATCATACTGTGTCTTATCTCTGATAGATAAATATATTAGTATAATTATAAACAACCTGAATTATTGACTTAACAACTAGAGTTTTATTATCCCAAAATAATCCAGTTCAATTGGTCACGGTAATTTGGTCACACTCATAGTTATTGGTCATTGTAGGTCCAATCATGCTAAATTGGTCACAGTAAGTTGGTCACAGTAAATTGGTCACAGTTTAAGTTGGTCACGCATGCAGTAATTTGGTTACGGTATGTAGGTCACCGTGATTTGGTCACGGCAAGTTGGTCACAGTAAGTAGGTCACAGTAATTTCGTCACAGTTAGTTGGTCACAGTATGGTCACAGTAATTTGGTCACGGTAATTAGGTCACAGTAAGTTGGTCACAGTTAGTTTGTCACAGTATGGTCACAGCAATTTGATCACGGTAATTTGGTCACAGTTATTTGGTCACACTAATTTGGTCATGGTAAGTTGGTCACGGTAAATTGGTCACAGTAATTTGGTTACGGTAAGTTGGTCACAGTAATATGGTCACAGTAAATTGGTCACGGTAATTAGGTCACAGTAAGTTTGTCACAATTGTTCTTCTTCTTCTTCTTCATCCACACGTGGTATATTTCACTATGTTTTAAAAGCGTGTGCGAAAAGGGGAAATCCACGCCATTCTGTACAGAGTGGTAAAAACTGATAAAAACATGCAATACCCTTCCTATAGTGTCTCCAGACCCTTGATCCTGGACTTGAAGGAATCCAAAGTTTCGGACAAGATGACAGCTGGTTCCATATCTTAATAGTGGTGGGAAATAAAGATTCCTTGTAGGTGGTGGAATGGCAGAATGGACCCTGAATCATGTTGGTGTCCTCTCGTGACCAAGAACATTGACGAATGCACAAATTACACATAGACCTGTCCCTTTTGGTTAAAAAATTAATTCTAAACGTTTTTGTTCTCATAGTTTTCTTTCAAATGTGACCTAATTCTGTTTGGCCGAGTTGAGGAGACATTTCGATGGCAACTAGGGAATGGACAATCTGGTACATCAATGTGACCTTGTGTCTATGTCCGGGCAGTAACTATATTAGGGTCTTTTTCTATGAGGCAAAAATTATGTTGCTATTCATTACAAGACTTTTGGTAAACCACCTTTAAATAGATATAGAATAAGTGATTATTTAGCGGATGTGATAAAATGTATTCATATTTTTAATTTTCATACAAAATGTGTTCTTTTATTTCTTCAAATTCGGCATGAGGCATTTGATCATAAATCAAATAGGCTGGCAATACCATTTAATTTAAAGCAAAATATAATATATCAAATGACAATTTTAAAGTTGAGTAATGTGTGTAGATCGGGGATTTTCAACCTCGGGTTAATTTTTATCAAGGGCTAATTTTCACAGTTCTGGCGGGTAATGAGATGCTCTGTAGTGTATCATAAATTCTTAGACAATTATAATCTAAATTGTTCTAATCTGTCAGACTATTTTCTGTGACATGAAACGATAGAAGTGAAAACATAAGAGGATATCAGAAACAGTTAGGATTTATAGGGGAATGGGGTAAAGCATTCGACCAAGGACCATGAAAGAGGCAATAGATAGAAAAACGTTGAAAACCCCTGCATTCAATTCGGTTGAAATCTTAGAGACTAATTTCGTACTACAAATTAAAGACGGTTTCGACTGTTTCACTGAGCTCAGTGAGAAGGTCACATGTGGAATCTCTACTGCGTTATAAACAAACTAGTTAGGTTTGGATAAAAGTGAAAATTTGTTTGTCCATGCTTCTTGCTGGATGTGAAGTTAGTTTGTTGACGATGCATTGTCAAACGTGATCAAGTTGAAATCGTTTGAAGCTAGAGATGTAACGATACGTGAACTGTTTATAAGGACAGTGAAGACTTTTAGTTTGTGCAATCAACAAAACTCGAGTTTCTCTGAGTAAAATCTCTGCTATTAGTGTCAGCTGTCATATTTACTGAACGGTTTAATTGTCAGACTCTGGGACGAGGTAAGACAATGTAAATTGTGATAATGCATTGCAGTTGATTATTATTGCTTATTTGATGCAACACTTTTTATTAAGCTGAAAATTTTGTAAGAGCTTCACAGATACTCAGATAGTCTGCCTGTAATCATTAAAAAGGAAGAAGTAAGCTTAGGGCAGTAGGACTAATTCCAGGTAGGATATATGATGTGATAAATTTGGTCTCAAAACAAAACATAGAACATAAGTAACATAGCATGATATAACTGCAGTTACTGTCTGATTTTGTGTAGATCACATCTTGACAATGTCAAGCTATGATGAACTCAGTCTTATACCTTGACTGCAATAGCCACCTCTCTTGTATCACAGAATGCAGTGATTTGATTGTATTGTATGCTAGCAAATAGATGGGCCTGATAGGTATAGTGTCTAACTGACTTGCGCTCACAATATGTGTCCCCTAAATGACAGTGAACTGTTGAATTCTAGATAATTGTCACTTAGACCTCTCATGATAACTTTCAGTGGCCTATTTGGGCATGGTTCACAAAGCTAAATAATATTTATATTCTTGTTTTAGATATAAAGTGATTCCAAAATGGCCGTTGCTGTAAAACAGCTGCGAGCTTCCCGAAGTTATTTTGGTAAAGTTCAGGCATGTATATTGGATTGGAGTGGTACGACAGCAGATAAATATGTCATAGCACCTGCTGTGGTGTTTTGCCGAGTATTTCAGAAGCACAAAGTTCCCATAACGATGCTAGAAGCTCGAGGACCAATGGGACTTCGTAAAGACCTTCATATTAAAGCACTGACAGAACACGAAGAAATACGAGCTAGATGGCACGCAGTACATGGTAAATACCCTGATCAGACAGATGTGGATAAACTGTTTAATGATTTTGTACCAATGCAGTTATCATGTATTAAACAGTATGGGGGTTTAATCCCTGGTGCAGTCAATGCTATAAACAGACTCCGCGAGGATTACGATTGCAAAATAGGGATGACGACTGGCTTTTTAAGACCAATGGTAAATATTTTACTGGAAGAAGCCAAAAAACAAGGTTTCGTTCCTGATGCAGATGTAGCTGGAGATGAAGTTCTCCATGGCGAACGTCCAAAACCCTACATGTTATATCGTAACCTGGATCTACTGGACGTCCATCCTATACAGTCGGTTGTTAAGGTAGATGACACAGTATCCGGGGTAGGAGAGGCCGTGGAGGCGGGATGTTGGGGAGTGGGTGTGTCCAGATATTCAAATTACATGAATATTGACAGTTTAGAACACGAAGGTCAACTTTCGGTAGAGGATATTGAGCAGAGATTGGAATATACTCGTAAACTATTGGTTCATGCTGGAGCACATTACGTAATAGACAGTATCGCGGAGCTACCAGACGTCGTAGATGATGTGAACAGAAGATTAGCGAACGGAGAAAAACCGTGAACTGTGAACTGAACCATTGATTGTTTGTACATATTAAACTTATATTAACAGTTTTATTTATGGATCTAAATCAGAATTTTTTGATTGTTTTTACTATTGATAAGTTATTCGAGACACTATCAATATTAAATTTAAATGATGACATAATAACATGCTGTATGTTAACACTTGAACAACTTGACTTTATAGTAGAGGATCTAAAGGTATTGAGATAAATGTTGGCTTGAAGCCAGAATGATAAACATGTAAACATCATACTTGAGATGAGATATTGGTGCACATCGGTTAAAACATCAACACAAACATAATATAAGCCTAGCTTGTAAAAAGTTTAAATTTTTGAAATGGTCTGCTTGTTGAATCTAGTGTTTCTTTGACTATAAATAGGTAACAATATCAACTTGGTCTTATTTACATATTAATTAGGTCTAATGTACTGTTATATCTATAGGTTTTCTTAATTTATCATGTGTATCAGAGACTGATAGCATCAATATACACCATTCCATTTTCAATCAGACGTCTGTGGTTGCTGTAATTCCACTAAAACTAAGTGTTTGATGACGTCACTAATCGAGAAGTCCTTATGTGATACAGCATATTTTTCACAGGATTACTGACGTCATCAAACCCTTATTTCTTGTGGAATTGCAGGAACCATGCTATCAGTTTCCCCGATACACATACAAAATTTTTAGTAAACCTCTTTACAATCTCTTTAATGTAAAATTATAAATATAGCTTGCCAGGCAAGGTAACATACGCCCACAGATAGCTTTGATTGTAAGTATTATGAAATTCGATATATTTACTATCTTCATAATGACATTGACACACAAAATCAAAAGAATGTAAAGAATTGTAGCCTGTAGAGTGAGCACAAGTTGCACAATATAGCTAATAGAGTAAAATTTCAAGTCAGACAGGATATTTTGGTGAAAAATTATCCGATCATCACAAAAATCGATAGGGATCATCTTCATAATGACATTGACACACAAAATCAAAATCAAAAGAATCTGTAAAGAATTGTAGCCTGTAGAGTGAGCACGAGTTGCACAATATAGCTAATAGAGTCAAATTTCAAGTCAGACAGGATATTTTGGTGAAAAATTATCCGATCATCACAAAAATTGATAGGGATCATCTTCATAATGACATTGACACACAAAATCAAAATCAAAAGAATCTGTAAACAATTGTAGCCTGTAGAGTGAGCACGAGTTGCACAATATAGCTAATAGAGTAAAACGTCAAGTCAGACATGATATTTCGGTGAAAAATTATCCGATCATCACGAAAATCAATAGGGATCATCTTCATAATGACATTGACACACAAAATCAAAATCAAAAGAATCTGTAAACAATTGTAGCCTGTAGAGTGAGCACGAGTTGCACAATATAGCTAATAGAGTAAAACGTCAAGTCAGACATGATATTTCGGTGAAAAATTATCCGATCATCACGAAAATCAATAGGGATCATCTTCATAATGACATTGACACACAAAATCAAAATCAAAAGAATCTGTAAACAATTGTAGCCTGTAGAGTGAGCACGAGTGCACAA